GATTATATAGTATATGATTACCAACTGCTAAGTCTGGCAACTACTATTACCGTATTCTGTGAGAAATGTCGCACCATGACTGTTCTCAATATCCATGATCGAATTTGCTCTGCGGAAACTCAAAATGCTGCTTTCAGATGGGAAATGAATCCGAAGCGGAATACACCTGTCATCGCTACGTGGACGATCATCCGGATCTCACCAATGAACCGGCGATTATGGTCATCTTCGCCATCCTCTACGTGCACATTTTCGTGCTCGGCATCCTTGGAAATGTGGCCGTGCTGTAAGTACTGCCGTTCACTGTTTGACTAGAGCGCAGATCTGCTAGCTTACTAGGCTGCGGGGGGGGGGGTCGTGTTGCAAAGCTCTTTAATTGTTGTTTCCAGATAGGTAACGGTAGGTGGGTAGGTGTCCTAGAAATTATCCCTATTTTGAAAATCCAAAAGAAAATGGTAATGATTGTTGTGACTGCAATCCGGGTCGTATGATAGTGACGAATTCCTTCTTCGACATCCACCGCTTACCTCTTCACAGTCCTCCCAATCTGTCCTTCCTAAGGGCCCATGGATTAGGAGGGGGCTGCGGGAAGTAGAGAAATATACGTAGTTGTGAGCATGACAAAAATTATCCCGCGACTTCCTGTTCGCACCATTTTTCTGTACTGAAGAACCCTTTAGAGATGATCCATTGATTCGACACCCTCAAAATACAACATAAACGGTACCCTATGACGCCTTACCGTACGAAGAGGAGGACAAAAGGTGATGCATCTGCGCTCACCAGGAACTTTCCTGGCCGCCTTGATGAGGATCGGGGCTTATTCAGCGTTTGCATGAGATTTATTTTTTTGTATTTTTCTCTACTCCCATACCTCTTTTAGGTACCTGACGCTCAAAAATCGTCATCTGCAGTCCGTGCAGAACATATTCATCCTGAATTTGGCTGCCAGCGATGTGCTGATGTGTCTGACATCGTTGCCAATCACACCAATCACAAACATCTACAAGACGTGGTTCTTTGCGTCACCCGTCTGCAAATTGATTCCACTCACGCAGGTTCATTTAAAAATTTCTGAAAAAAAGTCATTTAGGAAATCCTGTCCTATTATGCTTTATCACAGACCGAAAAATTGAATGGCATTAATGAGATCATTTGACTGGCGCCATGCATTCCTCTTCTACTAGGTATTGCGAGGCCCTCAACGATTACCACCCTGTCAGTGATTGCTGAGACCAGATCCGGAGTTAGTGCTATTCTTCTGGATCATCAGTGTGCCCACCTAATCCCAGCAGTGTAGGATATTGAGCTTCACCAAAGTCTCTAGGAATCCAGGAAGTATTCACAAGAGTGATATCACCTTTCACTTTGTACACTGGTCAGGAACACCTGGACTCAGCTTTGCACTGACTCTTTTTGAGGAATGAAATCAATTTCTATCGGAATAATTCCCTACAGGTGGTCCATCAGAACCATGGGGAAGGTACATAAGAATGAATGCGCGAACAAAAAAGGATAAAGGATAAAGCATTTGCCGTTGATCAATCCCTTTTGGGATGCGGCACGCATTCTACTTCCATTTGTACATTCGTAGTGGCGTTTGAATGCGATGTGGCCTATACAATGACTTGCGGGGGCCAGCCGATGTAAGTCAGTGTTTTTATCCTCCCAGACAAGTCTGGTACCAATTAACCGACCCCGGAGGGATGGAAGGCTTGGTTGGCCCGGGCGACTCACGACCCAGGATTTGATCCCCGGACCGCTCGCGTGGTAAGCGTGCCACTTGCACTACACCACTTCGTTTTGTTTGTTATACGAAGTTAGACAGACTTAAACGTCTATTTCATTAATGCTAAATTTGGCTTCCGGATCCCTACTACTTCGCCTCACTACTTCCCCATCTTCCCACTTTGAGAAAATCTTTCGAAACACTCTGAGGAGAAACTCGTCCAGAAGTTGGAAATCTCAGAAAGATAATGAAGCCTTAAATGTTGCTTGAACTCTCTCAGTTTCGGTTCTAAACTGTTCTAGTGCATTATCAGTTTGGCCTTCCCACAGTTTACCGCAGTGGGAACTGATTTACTGTACTCATAAGTGTGATCCACTTTTTTTATGCAACGGCCCAAGAGGTTTTGGGAAGAGTGAAGCCGTCACTGTTATAGTATACAAAACTGGTATAGACTTTGGGAGGCCGCTATGCCAGACCCACTGATCTTATCAAGCAATAACGAAAAGTTCACCAATCACGAACGGCCATAACTTTCTTAGAGTGGCAGAAGCAGTAGACACTATCGTTGCTCATTCCACTAAAGCTTTTCTCGATTCATATAGCTGTTCTGAACCTAACAGTAAGACTACGATGACGTTTCAACAGATAAAAAACAGGCTCAAATTACGTAGATATCGTTTTCACAATGAACATAGTGTAACTAGCACTTTGTACGTGATTTCCGTAGAACCCGAGAGCCACCACGTTTTGCCAACTTTTGCAACAATTTTGAATACTTCAATTCGGATTAGAGCATGCTGGAAAGGCTCGAGGTTCCTCGTCAGGGGCCTTCCCCACCGGCACGGCAGCGGACTATCGTTGGATTTGTATAAAACGTTGAAGCTTCTTCTAACAAAGTAATAAAAAAAATTGAATAGTTTCTAATTTTAAGCAGTTTCTTGGAGTGTGGTGGGGGCAGACAGTTTCCTTCAGCTTTTTTTCTGTCTTTCACCTTCGAAGGCTCAGCATCTTTTAAGCCACCAAGCCGCAAGAACCAAGAGATGTATTCGTTTTAGTGTTTTTTCTCGCCCCTGCGACTATTTCCTCTATCGGTAGCCCTCACGATGTTCATCGGGGCAAGTTCATGCAGTTCGCGGTCGGATGAAAATTTATAAGATCCTTTGAGCCATCCATGCCCGATGTGGTCTACATGTAGCTACATCGGATTTATCCAGAAAACAAGACCTTTGCTTCTAAATTCGGCTATCATTTTATTGTGTCGAATGACCACGCGTGGAATAAGCATTGCAATTTATGAACAGAGGTCGAATGCATGGCGCATAGGATGTGTTCTTAATTACAGCAAGGACGCCATTCTTCCCTCAAATTAGATGACGAATTATGTGCTCGCATTTAACTTTAATAAAGTTTTATTTCAGGGTGCATCGATATTTGTGTCAACGTTCTCCCTTTCGGCAATCGCGTTAGATCGGTAAGGAATTCGAGGCGTTAAGTCTTTGTTTTTATTCAGTTTGTTTTAACAGAGTAAAGGCTTGAGCCCGAGAAGTTATCAGTAAAGTTTCTGTGAAAGAAGGGTTACATCTATCCTGACTTAAATAGTGAAGCTCAGGAAACCGCTAATACTTACCAGTTTTTTTTCTGTATCGTTCCTGTAGGCCTAGATGCCCGATGCTTTACTTCAGCTGCAGCTTTAGCTTTTTCCCCAGATTTCTCACTAGCAGTGGATAGTGCTCTGCACAATCCTTGGGTTCTGCACTGTAGCCCCGTGACAATCCCATCTTTCTTTTATCTCTCGATCAATGGTCTTGGCCGTTGCACACTGACTGGCTTGATTTTGTTTCTTTCCCAACTACTTCTCGAAATATTATATTTTCTCACCATGTGTCTCCAGCTAGCAGGGTGACTAGACGAATAGCAGGGTGTGCCTGTCTGATCGAACAGAGGGGGCATCGTTTTGCCATTGTTGGGGGTAGGGCGGTCGTAGTTGTGGGTGACTCCCTTACGTTTTGTGGTTGGTGACGAGTCGTTTCGAAGGCTTTCCACAAGAGCTAGGGGTCATAAATTGTTTCAAAAGGCACTTCAGTCGCTACATTCAGAATTTACAGGGTATGCAGGCACTCCTGTTCCGCTCCCATTTTCACAGACTCAATCCTTCTTGTTCGAACAAGAGGTTTTTGAGCCTGCCAGGGTGAAATAGGGTGACCCTGGCAAGTCCAACGAAAGATGGTCGATCTTGTCAAAAATAGAAGGTTCGGCTGGTTAGGATAGGATCCACTAGTGTT